TCTCCTCCCGGCACCTCTGCTGATGCTCGGGGTGTGTGGCCAGAGCATAGAGGATCCAGGAGATGCCGCTGGCTGTGGTGTCATGGCCCTCAAACATGAAGGTGTCCACTTCCGCATGGAGGTCCTTGTCAGACAAGCTGTTCCCGTTCTCCCTCTGGGAGACAGGGAAGGAGGGCAGGGTTTGAGTTTGCCCCCCTCCTCCACACTTGTCTGCAAAGCCTCAGGCCTCCCCTGCCACACTCACTTGGGCAAAGAGGAGGATGTCCAGAAAGTCCAGGTGCCTCTTGCTCCTGACCTTCTCGAGCTCTCCCTCCTCCTGCAGCTGAGCCTTCCTCAGCTTGATCACTTGGTCTGTCCAGAACAGTGTTCCCAGGCAGAGCTGAGAGCTCTGGGTGCCCAGACACAGCCACCCACAGTAGCCCACCTGCCCCCTGTGCCCCAGTCAGCCTGCCAGGTGGATCAGGAGTGTGGGAATGGGTGTGCTTCTCAGGGGGAGAGCTCTAGTGCCAGGCACTTGCCGGTCCTCACTCCCCTCAACAGCGCAGCCCAAGGAGGTTCTGCTTGAACGCTGCTGGCAGGGGCTCTCCTTCAACCTTCACCCATGTGGTGACACATGTAGCTTCCTGCATAGCACCTGGCACCCTAACAGCTGCACCAGGGGAGTGCCTGGGGTGGGTGTTTCCCAGGTTCTGGAGGGGCAGCGAGGGGCAGGACTCTGCCTGAGGGGTCAGGGTCAGTCCCTTTAGGATGTGCCTGATGAAGGAGGGGAGGGGCCCAGAGGGCAGAGTCCCAACCTGTGTGTTGATGGGCAAGCTGGCAGGCCCGGTGGTTCCAGCGGCCCTCAGGGGTCAGCCTGTAGATGAAGTCTTTCTGGTAGAAAGCATTCCTTATCCGGGAAAGCACCAGGTTGTTCAGGTCCCGAATGGCCTGAAGGTAGGATTGGAAGTACCTGAAAGGGGAGGATGCAGAAGGGACTGGATGGAGGGAGGCATCTGACCTGGAGTGGAGTGGGCCTGTGGGTGGAGCGTTCCTCAATCAATGGGACAGGCAACCCTAGGCATTTGTCATGTTGTTCTTACACCCTCGAGACTCTCAGCCCCTTACGAGGGACGTGGGCAGCCAGTCTTCTCCCTGTGGCAGGGATGAAGGCTTGGTGTGGGCTGAATTTGACTGTGGCCTGGAGCTCTCTGCAGAATGTAGCTCTTTGGGCTGGTAAACATCCAAGCTGCCCTAACTGCCTCTCAGATAAGTCCACACTAGTTGGTAAGAAATAGAAGCCGGCAGCTAAGGATTTCACTGACCTGTCTGCCTGGTGGTTGCCCTGGTAGCTGAAGGCACACTTCATAAGGGTGTCCAACGTCATCGAGGAGATGTGTCCAAAGATCTCCAGAGGTGAGTTCTGGCTGAGGAGCTCCTCCCATTTGTCCTGTGGTAGAGGGACACATTGGTCCTTCTCTACTCCTCCAGAAGGCCCATGCTGACAAGGCTAGACTCTCTCTCTGCCTCTCCTCATATTCTGATGAGATGCCCACACTTTCTAAAGCGGTTGTGTTTCATCAATTTAGGACCGTATAGCCAAGTGTTTGTAATATGGTGAGTATTTTCTCAGAATATACTCTGAGGAAGTTGTTATTTAATTGTCATTTAATTAATCATGATCTCTTATAGTCTGACTTAGGAATAAGTTTGGTGAGAACCACCTTTTAGCAGACCAGAAAACATTGTTTCTCAGGGGACTAAGGGGGAATCTTTTCTGTCCTGCGGTTGATCTACACATGAGAAACCAGTGAAGTCCCAATTTAGGGAGCAAGAGTCAAGGCAAAGGAAAGGTCAAGGGGCCAGTACTGGGGTTCCTAAGGAGGGGATATCAGGGACCTCAATTCCTCTTATTCAGCAAATGTCAGTTGAGCACAGTGAGTGAGAAATAGGGTCATGCTCAGAGGTGATGTTATGGCAGGACCCAGCCCTGGAGGTAGAGACCTGATCTGCATTTCCCTCCATGGAGTGGCTAAAATCCACCAGAAGCCTTCAGCCCCAGGCCAGAGTCCACCTGAGTGACATCCTGGGATGTCCACCCTGCCACTGAAGCTGCTACTGCCCAGGCCAGCCAGGGGCAGCTTGTCCTGTTGTCCAGGGGCATTGACTACTCTTCCTGTGCAAGCCAAAGGCATGGAAACGGGAGGAGAAGGGACCCTTTATCTACCATGACTGTCTCTCCTGTGGGCAATGAGCAAAGAGTGGATGAAAGTGGGTGCCTGGGTGCTTTCTTGTTCCATCCATCCCCAGGAAGCCCTGTCTCATAGTATGGTATAAGTGGGTGATTCCAAGGGCCAAGTCTAATGGATGTCTGAGGGACACAGCTGTCTGAGAGTGGACTTTGTGGACTGTGCTGTGGGTGTGAGTGTGCAGGTGAGGAGGGGTTGAACTCACCAGCATCACTCGGACAGAATCGGCCATGAGTCCCACGTAGGGCTTCAGGATGTCATAGTGGAAGGCTGGGGTCAGCATCCGCCTGTGCTGGAACCACGCCTGCCCATTCAACAGGAGCAAACCATACCCTGGACCACAATGGGTGTATGTGTGGGGAAGGAACCTCCCAAGAGTTGCCTGGGGACAACTGGGGAGGAACCCAGGGTGTTGAAAGAAGGGCATCCTGGGCAAGGCTAGTGCATGTCAGGAAGGGGACTTCCCAATGCCTGGTGCACAGCCGTGAGGTTGAGGTTGAAACAGAGCAGGGTTGGGTCAACGGAGGACTTCAGTGAAAAGTTAGGCTGAGATCATTGGCGAGGACTCAGAAGTGATGGGGGAGAAGCTGACCTGCAGGAGGGCTCCCCTACCATAAGGAAGGTGTGAGGTTTTTATCAGAAGAAGAGAAAGGGGGCTCAATTCAGAGTTGAGTGGAGTGACTGTGGTACCAGTCACCTCTTATTTAATCTGGGCCAGATGGATAGATGTTGGCAAACCTAAGCAGGAGGCGAACCATATTCCTAGTTCAATGTACTTACCTATACAGGGAGCCATGAATCTGTAGGAACCATCAGACTTTGGGTCTGAAAGTAAGAAGGGCGTTACAGGAAACTGGAGGTGACCCACGAAGACAGGCTGCCCTCAGGAAGTAGCTGTGGTCCAGACCATTGTCCCCATCCCTTCCTGATGATTGTCAGCTGGCAGTTTGTGTCAATCCACCTCCCACTTGCCTTCCAACCCAGACTCTCTTTCTTTCTTGATAGTTACTGTGGGCTCGGGAAGGCAGACTTAGTGTCCCACAGCAGAGCCTTATGGAGTAGGAAGTTGAATCAGCAAGAAATACAGCTTCTGTCCTCAGTGGCAGGGAAAAGACTGTAGCTTGTCTGGTGCTTTTTGTTTTGTTTTGTTTTGTGTTTGTTTGTTGTTTTCTTTATTTTTGTGGTTGGTCAGTCATCCCATGTCCCAGCACAGGCAACAGGTCGGGGTTCCACCCAAGCCATCATGGATAGGAGATTGTCTTGAGTTCTGGGGTCACACCACTGTGGTGAAGAAAGTTAGAAAGAAAGAAGGAAAGAATGAAAGGTGGAAAGAAGGAAAGGTGGCAAGTTGGAATGGAGGGAAGGAAGGAAGGAAGGAAGGAGTGAAGGAAGGAAGGAAAGAGAGAAAGAAAGGAAGACAGAGAGAAAAGAAAGGAAGAGAAAGAAAGGAAGAAAGAGAGAAAGGAGAGAGAGAAAGGAGAGAAAGAGGTAATCCCTCACAGGTGTTTAAGCATTCAAACAGTAACTTGTATTTGGGCTTCTGCTGGCTCTTGGGCTGGGAGGATGGCAGGTAGAGGGTCAGATATTGATGACTGAGCCAGCAGTCTCTTCTGGAATGTCACAGTCCCCCAGGAATGTATCCAAGTGGGTAAAGCCACTCCAACGGACAAGTGGGTTTGCTCTCACCTGATCGCCCCAGGATCACCTTCATGTAGTCCGGGTCATAGACTATGAGGCTAACCTTGCTTCCCCATAGCCAGCGAGGACTGGCACATGGATATTTCTCTGCCCTTTTCTGAAGCTCTTGTAGCTCCTGACCATTTTGGAGCTGTAACCAAGGGAAAGACGAATCAATAAAACCTTGCTTCCTCTTTAGGTCCACTGCTTGGAGTGGTGGTGGAGGGTAGGATGGCCACATGGAGACAGTTTGGGATATCAGCATTGATTAGGAGTTTGGAACAGTTTCCGATGAGCTAGACTCTGATTGGGATTCCAGATTCATGGTACTTCTGTTCTAGTGGGAGTGGAGGTGGGGAAGTTAATCAGGCCCTACACTGAGAAGTGTTGTCCAGTGACTTAAGGAGGCTACTCTGAGCTCCCAGGTCATGTCCTTCACTGGGGCCGCCCTTCTCCTTGGATCCAGTGCAGGGACTGTGTAGGGGGAGCCTCTCACCATGAATCTGCTACCTCATCCTCCAGGATCCCCTCAAACCTGTGCAGCAAGGGCCCCCGGGGGATCCTGTTTCAGCAGCGTTGCATGCCCCCTGTTTGATTGCTTGCTCCCCAAGCCAGTCAGCTTCCAGAAACTCCTGCTCCTGGGTAGTGTCAGTAGTTCCTCTGGGGAGCCCCAAGGAGCTAGATGGTGCTCTGCCCGGCTCTTCCTCTCTCTGGGTCACTCTGACACCCACTGGCCCGTCAGCCTTCCAGACAACCGCTTGGGACTGCCATCTCTCCCTGAACAGGTCTGGCCAGGGCCAGTTGACACTCTTGCCGAGGAGTTGGTGCCCGGGCTGGCAGTGGCAGTGACCCTACAGGCTGATACTCGGTGTCTCCTGGCTTTCAGGCTGTGGTCCCTCATGCAGGCAGTGCTCCACTACAGCTGTTCTCACCTGGCTCCTCCTGGGCACTGGGGCCACAAAAAATGTCCCCAGAGTGAGATACTAGGACAGACAGTGGACAGAAAATAAAGGGGCAGCACAGGCAATCAATCTTCAGGTGCTGGGGGCTGTGCTGGCCTGTGGTCTGCCTGAGACAGGAGGGAGGATCTGGGAAAAGATGAGGCTGATCTGTCGTGGATTTCCACACAAGAGTTCCCCTTTCATAGTTCCTGACTGATTTCAGCCCTATGTAGTGCAGCAAGTTTGGTAACCTATAAACATGCTTGTCCTTCATAGGCATTACCATTATCTTCAGTTTTTATAATTAGAGTGTAACTGTGACCTTTGGTCTGTGCCAGGTGACATTCTGAGATTAGTGTAACTCACATGAGACTATAATAATCATCATCATCCTCAGTTTACAGACGAGGAAACAGAGGGATAGAGCAAGCATTTGAAGTATGTGACAGAGCTAGGATAGAATCCAGGTAGCTTGGCTCAGAGCCCAAATGCTTCCCTGTCCCACTTGTCACTTGTCACTTGGCCTGAAAGATTAGCTTTAACTTACTGCATGTGGCAATCTAATTCCTGACTTAGCCAATAACAGAGGTACTGAATAAAGTCTCAGATTTGTAAGAGCAAGAAAAATCTGGCTGCAATATCTGTTGGGCCAGCAGAAGCTGAGAGCTGATTGAGCACCAGAAGTAATAGGAGTTATGTAAGTAAAACTTGTGTGCTTACGGAGTCTCCATACCATCTGTGTAATGAGAGTCAGTGGAGGAAGTTTTAGTGGTTGCTTAGGTCAAATCCTAGCTCAGAAAGGTGACAACTGCGTCTAACAAAAGGTCACAATTTCTCCAAATGGACAAGCAATCTGGAAGTCATTAGTGCAACAATTTGCATGAAGAAACTGGCCTATGGCTGTCTTCTTGTGGCTGACGTGAAGTTTCAGTCTTTGGTTCCACTCAGTTGAAATTGCCTGGCCTCCTCAGCAACACCCCCCTGCTAGTCTTGTTCAATCCACACCCCACTGGACAGCCCCTCCTCACATGTCTCCACCTTGCTGGTTCCCCCGCAAGGACCAGTACTGCCAGAGCTAGAGAGTAAGCACTGTCTCCAACCCAGCTGCAAGCTGCTCCTTCCTCTGTCATTCCACAACCTGATCAGGCATCCCTTGGGGTCAGCTCTGTGCTGGTCCCTGGGGTACTGGAAAGGGGTGACATCCTCAGCCCAAGCAGCTCACAGTACTGGGGTTGGGGAGGGAGAACTGGGAGGTAAACAGATTCTTTTAATGGTACAGCTCAATGTCAACACTCTTTATCTGCCCCACCCTGGAAACCTCTCTCATGTGTGCCAATGACTTGCCGGGGTTTTAGCACTGAAATCACCAGTCTGGAACATCTCATAGTCTTGGACAAACCAAGCTGGTTGGTTCTCTGCACTTGACATCACCCCCAGTTTAGCAGGTGAGCCTATTTTCCTGTGACCTGACACCTGATTCCTGTCTACAGTCTCCATAAGCTGTGAACCCCACTACTGTCTGTGTTCCCAAGCAGCTCAGGGCCAGGCTGAGAGGATGGGATTGAGTGGCTGGGGCAGGGAAGCATCAGGAAGCATGTTCTGAGAGAGGAGCTGGGCTGCTCAGCCAGGATGGGAAAGACCCAGGAGAGAACAGTCATTGTCCTCAAAGTGCAGGACTGCACCACAGCCTGCAGATCTCCCCAAGGAAGGAGGGTCAGACCGGCCTGAGGGCACCAGCACAGCCTTCCTTCAAGCGTGGAACTCCCGGGACTGAATGAGGAGCCAAGATCTGAGAGGTAAGCTGGGTGTTTCCCAAGGCCCATGTGCTGGTCACACAAGAAGCCTATGTGCGATGGATCTGCTGCCCGGGATGATGCTCCAAGAGCCCTGGATGCCCAGCCCTCCCATTCCCCTCCAGCCCCTTCCTACCTCCAGCTTGTGCCCGAAGAGCCAGTGGGAGGGGGGGGATGGGAACTCCTGGACTGCTTTGAGCAGCCACTGCCTGCGCAGGTAGAGCTGTGCTGCCTTGAGCAGCAGCAGAGCCAGCCCTAGCAGGGAGGCCCCTTGCAGGAGCCCAGAGATACCGCCCAGGGGTCCGGTGATGCTCAGCACAGAGACACTCATGGTGCAGGGGCTGCTGGATCGCTGACTCTGCCTGACTGTCCCTGACTGTGCTGAGCTCCCCTGAGCATCCCAGCCCAGTCAGTCAGGGGAGGATTGCCCTGCCCACCTGGAGGGAGGGTGAAGGGTGAGGGCAGAGCTCAGATTGGACTTCTAGAGTTCATTAACTGTGAGGAGCCACCTTGGGAAACTGTGGGAGGAAAGCTTTCTCAGCAGACAGTGGTAATGGCTGGGCACATTCCCACTTGCTCTGTTCCCTGTTATTCATCAAATATTTCGGGAGCACCTACTCTGTGCCAGGCAGTGTGCTTTGTGCCTGGACACAGCTGTCAGCAAAACAGACATGAATCCAGACCGCAAAAAATTCAGTCTAGTTTACCAAGTGTTAAGGAGATGTGCTTGGTTTGATTATTATCCCATTTCTGAGAGGAAAACACTTACAGGGAGCTAAAGCGATGTGGCCAGAGGAAAACCACCAATGAGAGTGCCAGCTGGGATTAGAATCGGGGGTCTCCAGACTGCCTCAGCTGCCTCAGCATTGTTCCCCACGCTTGTCCCAGTCCACCATTCAGCGATGTCCTGGGCTGACTGTGCCGGTAGGCAGAGCACTGGGCTCACACTCAGGAGGCCCAGCCCAGGGCTTGCTCATGCCATATGAAGCTGGCCAACCATATTCTCTGCACTTCAGTTTCTCCTTCTGTAAGGTGTGTGTGTGGGGGGTAATTGTCCCTTTCCCAAGGTCCTCCCAGGAATGCTCATTCAGTCAGTCACTCATGCACTCAGCAAATGTTTCCTGAGCTCACAGTCTAGGAGGTAAAGGCAGAAAAGTAACGCAATCCAGGAAAACATGATAAGGCCTGTACTGAAAGAGTGAATAGTGGGCTGGGTCCACCCAGGAAGGAGACAACTAAAAACAAGAATGGGACCCTGAAGGGTGAATAGGAATTCACCAGGTGAAGAGTGCTAGGGAGAGGGATGGGCACTAAAGACTCACGGAGAACATATGAAAGCACATCTGAGGAGGACAAGTTAGTCTCTCGGCCTCACTTTGTTCCTGATTCTCTTCTCCCAAATCGACTCCAAGCCCATAATTCAGAAAGGAGAACAAGGTGTTTTCATGAGGAGTTCTTTGGAAGGCAGCTTTTCCTCCTGCCCTTGTTCCTCACCATCTACCTGTTACTCCTATGCCCTCCTCCTGTGGCCGACCTTGTGACAGGAGATTCATTACACAACCCATGGGTCCACAGGTCTCACCTTTCCCCCCAAATCCTGGGCTCCTGTCCAAACCCAGGGGTGTGTAACCATGTTACCCATGCCTCTCAACTTTCCTCCAGTTCTATGGTTACTTTCCGCCCCTCACTGGCCCAGGCCCAGGGACTCTGGAGCCTGACTCCTTCCCTCGCTTGGATCAGTACCAGCTTTGCACCTAGCACATGAGGGGCAGTTGTGGAGAGAGCTTGGAATTGGGACAGCCTAGGAATTGGGTTGCAATTCTGGGTGTTACTCCGTGTTTGCCTCCCTGAGTCCTCGGTTTCCTCTATAGAATTGTGTGCATAATGCTTGGAAATAGCTAACATTTACTGAGTGCTTACTATATTCTAGACACTGAGCAAGGAACTTTATGCTTTTTCCCCACAACAATCCTAAAAAAAAAGATTTTAAAAAAAATTCTCAAGTCTCAGCATGGGGAGGCTCTTCTCTGGGAGAAGGGAGTGGGTCCAGCCTGCACCAGGTCCTTTAACATTTGGAGGTTTGAATCCCAGCCATGTGCCAGAGATAAAATGGAGAAGTATGGCAGTGAGTGTGTTGACGGCCCAGGCACAGAAGGGGTGAGGGCAGGGATCTGATGGAGGCTTGGGACACAGGATGGGAGATTATTCATTTTTCTCTCAGAGCTTCCTGAAAAGGGACAGGTGGGAGATCCCCTTCCACGGACAAGACAGTGGGGTGGCATCAGTATCACCCCCACCCCCAGCCCACCAGTGTGGTCAGACTTCAGAGAAAAACACGTGTCTCCCATGGAGATGGGAGCTGCTTACACCAAACCCTGCCACCCTGCACCTGTCTGGGGCATCTTTACCAGGGCAAGTCTGACTGTGAGCAGCATAGTGGGTCTCTCCCTCAGAAGACCAACACAGGCCCATTGCATGTACCAAGGTCACTGACCATAGAGTGCTCCAAAGCATCAGTTCAGTTCTGGTGGAAATAGGACCAGGCTTCTTTTCTTTCCATTGTTTTCATTTTCTCTTTTTGTCTTTTATTTCCCCTTTCAAAACAGACTTACAGTGTTTGTTTGTTTGTTTTTTTGTTTCATTTTCTCTTTCTCTGGATCAGGGTTTTTTATTCTTTTTCTTTTTCCTTTCTTTTCCTTTCAAAACAGGCTTATAGGTTTTTGTTTGTTCATTTTCGTTCCTTTTCCTTTCCTCTCTCTCTCTCTCTTTTTTTGTCCTTTCTTTTTTTCCAGGTTTACTTTAACAAACAAATCAAAGCACACCTAGTTAAGGTCCAAACACTCCCCCCTGCAAGCAAGGTGCAACTCTGCAGAGGACTGACCTGTGGGAAAGAGCGGCCAAAACGCAGTAGCAGCATGCACACAGCTTACACCAGAAGCACTTCCTGAAGTGCCAGGCCCTGGACAGTGTATGACGCCTCTTAAAATAGCATTACTCTCGGGAACAGGAAACATACAAAATGACAAGGCAGAGGAATTCTCTCCAAAAGAAAGGTCAAGAAGAAATCACAGCCAGCGATTTTCTCAAAACAGACATAAGCAATATATCTGAATAAGAATTTGGAACAAGTGTCATAAGAATACTAGCTGGGCTTGAAAGAAGCATAGAAGACAACAGAGGAAGCCTTGCTACAGAGATAGAAGACCTAAAACCTAGTGAGGCTGAAATTAAAACATGCTATAAGTGAGATGCAAAACCCACTGTACGTAATCACAACAAAGATGGAAGGAGCAGACGAATGAATAGGTGAGATAGAAGATAAAATTATGGAAAATAATGAAGCTGGAAAGAAGAGGGAAAGAAAACTATTAGATCTTGAAGGTAGACTTATGGAACTCAGGAAGTCCACAAAGCACAATAATATCCATATCAGAGGAATCCCAGAAGAGAGGAGCAGGAAAAAGGGGCAGAAGGCAAATTTGAACAAATTATACCTGAGAACTTCCCTAATCTGGGGAAAGAAACAGGCTTTCGAGTCCAAGAAGCACAGAGAACTACCTTCAAAATCAATAAAAACAGGTCAACACCGAGACATATCAGTGTGAAACTTGAAAATACACGATAGAGAATTTTGAAAGCAGCTAGTGACAAAAGGTACTTAACCTACAAGGTAGACACGTAAGGTTAGCAGCAGAC